GAGAGAGAGAGAGAGAGAAAGGAAACATGTAGACAACTGTTAATAGTTTGTTTTCTTTTTCCTGTTTAAGTTGGCATACTTGAGTAGTGGCAAAATTGGACAGTGAATCAAGTTGTACGCCTCCTGCAAAACCAATTCAATTCTTAGTTGGCCTTCTTTGTTAAATGGAGGGAGAGACCGCGTAAAAGGAATAATACTCTAAAGATGAAGTAGGATGGAAACAGGCAGCAACTCCTGTTCGATCTATGGTCTCTCCTCACATTTTTGGACTTGTGTGTAGCTGAACCCAAGCTGTTGAAAGTAAAACTAGCCATTACTGGTGCTCACCTTTTTAGTATAAAACTGTCTTCAAAGTTGATGGGCATCTCCACAAGTAGTAGCAGCTATGTATTGAAGAGCTTGGTTGAATTTCTTATGAGCTCTGAGCCATAATTTGTTCCGCCATTTGTTTTTTCTGTATCCAGGGGTGGACACAAATGTTTAAAGTTAGGGGAGCACAATCGAAATTGCAAAAAAATCGAGGAGAAATTTTACGTCCAAAAAAATTGTCCCATGTAAGTAATTTTGCATTCGAAAATTTACATGGGATATGACTTTTTCAGATGTAAAATTTCGAAAAAAATTTATGTCATATTCCATATAAAATTTCCTAATAAAATGATGAAAATTACATTGAGAAATTTNTGAAAATTATATTGAGAAATTTGTATTGCAAAAATAATAAATGTTTTGAAATAATTGATTTTTTTAAAAGAAAATGCGAGTTAAGACACCTTTGTTTAAAAATCACATTTAACGCATTTTTAACTATTTTCGATATCTGTTTGGATTATTCGATATGCCTATAGTGTAGTTCTTGAAATAAGTTTTGAGATGATATAAGTAATTTGTAGATTCGATTAGCGTACGATCGTCGAAAATTTTTTAAAGTTAGCATGTTATCGAAATTTTCGAAATACTAATTTTGAACGGCTTATTTTGACAAGTCGTAGCATTTGTTACGAATGATCGTTTCATACGCCATTAACTGCGTAAAAAACTAAACCGTGAACACTTCGAAATGATATTAAGAATGTAATATTTCACCCTTGTTTGATGGAGAATTAAGATTTTTTTAAAATGCGAGAGAAAAATAGAAAAATTAAAAGTTATTGTGATTTGCCTCTGTTTGATGGAGATTGAAATCAAATTTTTAGTAAATTTTGATAAAAGTTAAATAGTTATCGATTCTGTGAAATATGTTATTAAAATTAATTGTTAACTTTGATTTAAATTAAAATTTATATTTCAATCGATACCAAACATGATGGGACCCCCCTGTCTGTATCTTTATATGCTGTTTGCGTACCTGGTTTGTAATCTGTGACAACTACTCGTGCAGGTCTACAAGTGCAGAGGGATTCGCTCTGCGTTGGGCCTTCAGTAGTCCAATGCTTCAAAAATTTTCTTGTGTATTCAATGACGGAAGCCTGTCTGTAATGCCCTTCTCTTAGTTCCCTAACCCAAAACTTAGATATCTTGTACTTAGATGATTATGAATGATCATATTTCGTTTTCTGAATTGGCTGGTCTCCTTTATCATGCCAGGGAATAAGTGAAACTGAGTGTTTTCTGGTCTAAAAACTACATTGCCATGGACATATGATCCATAGTAGAGCTATTGTATGTATTTATTGTAAATGATGTAGGGAGTCTGAAATAAACACCACATGTAATGGATTTCTTAGTAAAAAATAAGTTGCTATTATTGATGAATGACTTCTTGAGTTTCGTATAATTAAATTTTCGATTTTGCTAGTGGTACATTACCATGTACATAGGGGTGTATACCCCACTCATATGGGAGTGGGACCTGCTTGAATAAAAAAAATATTTTATACAAGCAGATCCCACTCCCATGTGAAGGAGGTGTACATCTTTATGTACATTTCTTGATGTACAAGAAGAATTATTCTTAAATTTTTTGGCGAAAGTTGGATCTAAGTGGTTGGCTTGTGGTTTACCAAAATCCCATTTTCTTGCAGCACGCCCCAAGAACTCACAATTTTTGTTCATATTTTATCTATGTATTTTGTAAGTCCCATTTTTTATAATCTATAAAATGACGTGCATTAATCTAATTGCCTTTATTCTTAAAAATTATTAAAAAACCACTAATCTAAATAATAAATAATAATAAAAAAAAAACACAATTAAAGTAATTATGAAATTTCTTGGATCCTGGATACATAACTTTCTAGCAAATTTGCATGTATTTCCAAACACGTGATTCTATTGATTTCCTCTCATTGTTTTGGATTAAAATCCAATTGTAATCAAGTTAAAGTCAAAATCAAACAATTAATATTAATCACATTTTTCATGAGTCCCACAACATTTCACCACATGTTTAAATTTTTTTTTTTTTATCACAATCTAATAATAATCTAATTTCAATCCCTACCAAACACCTTCTATCTATGAAAGTGTACACAACTTGATTAGCTCGAAACTCATCAATTAAAACTCTTTGAATGCAAGATCACAGCGTGACTATTCATCAAGTACAATAAGGGCCTGTTTGATTACAAATATGGAATTTGGGTAGAAATAAAATTTTTAAATATAATTGAATTGCCTAGAATTTATTTTACTGAGCATTGTAATTAATTGTATTTGATTGGTATAATTTTCCACTCCAAAATGTTGAAAATTTGGCATCCGTTTGGCTTTATTTTTCATGAAAATTGTTCATTAAAGTAATTTTTTTTTTTTTTTTTTT